GAGCTCTGGTGCTATATTGGTTAAGGCATTTGGAAGATAACCAGAAGGTTTGTGGTTCAAACCCACCAGCTACTCCATGGAAGAAAGATGATGTAGTCTGCTTCCATAAAGATAAACAGCCTTAGAAACCTAATGGTGGTCACTAGGAGTCAGTATTGGCTCGATGGTAGTGGGTTTGATTTGGTATAAGTCTACCCTAGTAAAAGTAATAGCATGTATTAGTATTGCACTTTTACTGTGTTTAAGGAACTCTTTTACATGCATTATGTATATTAGTTCATTCTTCAGAATCACTTTTGATGTAAATTTCCATTATCCTCATTTTATATGTAGTAAATGGAGGCACAGAATTTTTTTTTTTTTTTTATTGTGATTTGGGTTACAGAGCAAATTCACTTTTCCATACAGCAGTTCACATATACTTTGTCTTATGTCATTGACCACAGTTTACCACAATGCAACAGCTCCATTCCCACTTCTCCCCATAGTTACCTCTTTCCAGTGACCATCCCTCCATACTCTCCTGAGCCCTGAGCTGTCTCCCTGTGCATAAGCAGCCCTTCCTTCTCCCATGATTGCTCTCTCCAGGGCGTGTGTCTACCTGAGGTAAATGTTTAACTCACATGCCTGTACTTTGGCTGGCTGGAAACCACAGGTGTAGGTGCAACTCCAGACCTGAAGGGCAGCTAGGGGCCATAGTCTCAGTGGTTCCACCAGGCTCTATTGGACCAGCAAACGTGGTCCCAACCATCTTTTTTTATCCCTCCAAATGATTTTGAGTTTTGAGGCACAGAATTTTAAAAATGTGTTTAAAGGTCACAGAGCTAATAAGAGGCAGAGTTAGTTACTTGCTAGATATAACACCCAATCTGTAAGAATTTTAAGTGTCTACTGAGGTCTCTGAAATATATCACGTCCTCAAAAAATGTTTTTTTCTTTAATAATACTTCAAAAATCAGACAAGTATATGGTTTATATTGTGTTATAAAATAGTTGGCTACTTCTAGTGAAGGGAATAGATGTCAATGGGGATTCTGACTTTTTTCCTCTATATTCTGATTGTTTTAACTTTACAGCAGAATGCCTTCGTGGTTTATCTTCTATTTAAAAATAGAGGCAGTGAGTGAAGGTTTTTCAGCAAATCTTAGAGTCGTGCTTGACTTTTTTTCTCCATATATAGTCCATGAACAAACACTACCAGGTCTACCTCAAAAATATATTCAGGATTTTACATTTCATCACCTCCAGTTCTCTTACCTTAGTCCAAGCTACCACCATCTCATGCCTGCATTATTGCAGTAGCCTTCTAACTGTTCTCCCTGGTTTCACTGCCTTGCTCCACTGTCCCTCCATTCATCTTCCTTTTGAAATACCAAATTGTATCTTTATTCAAGGCCCAACATGAAGTGGGCCAGGATTACTTCTCTGACTCATACTGTTAGAGTAGTATCTCATTGAAGAAGAGCTCAGCCAAGGCAAGGTGTTTTCTAAGGAGGCTCAAAGTATACATACATATTTTTGCAGGCATTGCTGTGTATGCCTGATTGGGGGAACTGTTGTACTTGTTTATTATTTTTTGGGGGCATGTAAGGTTGAGATGAGGGAGTGACTACTGAGGTTGAAGTACTCTTAAAGGGCTTTTACATGTTTTTTCAAAGACATTTTGATTTTTATCCTGAAGGCATTGGGAAGTTACTGAAGAATTTTAGCCAGGATATGATATGGTTACTTTTGGACAGGTTAAGATTGAGATAACCTTTTTGCTATGTAGATCCTAAGTTTGGGAGAGAGATGATGTTTTCAGTGTTGGTGGGAAGCCCTGAGGTGCCTTGGTCTGGCTGGTCTTTTGGTCTTGGGGACAATCTCTAGGAAGGAGTGATACAGATAAAGAACATATCAAAAAAACAAACTCACTGCCATCAAGTTTGATCTGACTCATAGTGACCCCTCCTTGGGTTTCAGAGGCAGTATCACTATGGAGGTAGATTGCCCAATCTTCCTTCTAAGGAGTGCTAGTGGGTTTGAACCACCAGCCTTCTGGTTAGCAGTCAAATGGCTTAGGCACTGTGCTACCGGAGCTCCAAAAGAAGGTATGGATGGTATTATATATAAGGAATTTATAGCATTGTAAAGGTCAATGGCCTAAAGAAAGATGGACCTGGTTTCAAAAGTCTGTCTGAAATTACCACATCACCTTTTTCCGTTACTTACAGTATAGTTACAACCTTACTCATTAAAAAACAAACAAAAAATCCCCACCACAGTGAAAACCCAAGGTTTAGTAAGTAAAATATCAGCGTACTCTTTTGAGAACCTTGCAAAAAACATATGTAACTTTAAGGTGGAGAGGATGAAGATTGGGAAAAAGAATGTTTTTAAAATTAAGGCATGCAAAAATATGTGAGGCAATAAAAGACAGGAATCATTTGTAAAAATCTTAGGATGAAGTTAGAAGGGTGCAAAATAAGCAGAAATGTATGTCTACTCATTAATAAAATCAACCTTTGTTAATATTTGCTGTTTCATCTACCCTGTCTTTAATACATATTTAACACATATGAACCAAAAACCCATTGCCGTCAAGTTGATTCAGACCGTAACGACTCCTATAGGAAGGAGTAAGGGTTCCAAGGTTATGAATCTTCATGGAAGCAGACTGCCACACATTTCTCCCATGGAGTGGCTTGTGTTTGAACCACCAGCCTTTTGGTTAGCTGCAATTCACGACCAGGGTCTCCTTCACAGTAAATAGCTAGTGACCTAAAATTTACCAGTTCTGAAAAATTGTAATTAACTACTATCACATACAAGGAAATGAGTAGTTATGACAACATGACAAGAATTGAAGATAATAATTTACTGACCAAAGTCCATGAGTGGTACAAATGGTTAAATATTTTATTGTTAGCTGAAAGGTTGGCTATTGGAATCCACCCAGAGGTACATTAAAAGAAAGGCCTGGCAGTCTGCTCGGGAAAGGTGACAGCCTTGAAAATCTTACGGAAAAGTTCTACTCTGTACACATGGGTCACCATGAGTTGCTGTCAACTCAGTGACAACTAACAACAGGAATTTACTGATAGAACTTTTCTTAGATCTTAAGTTTGTATAATAACCAGCCAACCAGACAGATCCCCCCCCCCAGGTGACTTTCAATAACTTTAAGATACATAAACATACTAAAATAGAAATCCCATTGTACAGTTACTGCTCTTTAATTGTTGGAAGGGCCAAGATTTGATAAATGGAATGTCAGATGCTAAAGGATACTTGGTACTCCCTATTTTACCATTGAATTTAAAAAATTTTTAAATTGCTTTAAATTTTATAGTCTTTTTAAAAGATGTTAATGGTTTTACCTCAAGTGCATCTCTATTGTATTTGGTATATTTACAGTTTTAGATTTAGAACTCTTCCTGTTTCTAAATTAGTTTTGGAACTGTTTACTAATCAGTTGGCATGATCTTCCACCATACGCTTGATGTTCTGGGTCCAGTCTTCAAATTTGTTTAATGTAGGCATTGAACCAGGTCTCTAGGGTTTGTTTTTTTTTTAGTACTCTGTTTTTAGGAAAATTCTTTCCTTGAATAAATTCCACATAGAATCTTATTACAGAAAATGGCTTTCTAAATTTTATTTTTGTAAATTGGAATTTTAGATTAATTATATTAACTTAGAGTCTGTGAGGTAGGACTTTTCATGAATAGAAAAACTTGAAATGAGTAAAAGTGGCTGGCTGTCTTGTATTGGACTCACCTTCCTGTTGCTATTATTTCTTATTTTAGTTGAATAAAAACCAAATCAAACCAAACTCTCTGCCATTGAGTCAGATCTGACTCAGAGTGACTCCTACTTGGGTTTCTGAGGTAATATCACTACGGAAGTAGATTGGCCAACCTTCCTTCCAAGTAGTGGCTGGTGGGTTTGAACTGCTAGCCTTCTGGTTAGCAGTCAGATGCCTTAGGCACTAATTTCTGTTTCAACACAAGTGTAAATTTTTACAGGTTTTTCTTTTTCAACAGCTCACTTTGTAGTCTCAGGAAGCTTTTCAGTTAAAAACAGAAAAACCTCTATTCTGAGCTCTATCCCAAAATGAATTCACCTACTGTTTCAGTTACTTAGTGCCATTCTAACAGAAAATACCATAAATGGCTGGCTTGAACAAACAGGGATTTATTCTCTTATAGTTTAGAAGGCTAGAAATCCAAGTTCAGAGTGCCAACTCTAGGGGCTGAGTGAAAGCCCCTCCACTTGGGCTTAAGCTCTACCTCTTGCTCCTGGCCTACTAAAGCTGGAGGCATCTCTTAACACATACAGCTGCTGGCTGCTGAGGCTAACAAATCCACGGTCCACAAATAATATGGCATAGTTCCAGAATTATCAAGCAACATAGCAGGCCACTAGTTCAAGTCCAGAAGTAGTCTCAAGATAGGCAGACAACATGTCAGGCCATTGAGATGAAGACTTGGCCAAATACAGGATCCAGATGTGCCAGCAAGCTTAGAGACTTTTCTCAAAGCTGCTACTTATATACTGGAAACAGACCACATCCCTAAGGCAGTTACTCAGGTGCTCACAGTAGATTATGCCATGGAGTTGATTACCAGTCTCATCATGGGAAATTACATCCAGCTGCCTGGCTACTCAAAACCAGGCCAGCCAACTTGATACACAACCTTAACTATCACACCTAGTAAGACAAGTTAGAGCATTGACACTCTCCAGTGTGTTAAAATTTGAGATACAACAAAGTTAGACTATAAAATAGTACTTAAATTTTAATTAAATGTGTGCATAATATTTACCTAAGTTTGCCCCATTGTAGGTGGCAGAGCCACAGCTCAGGCCCGTTTGGAGACCTCTTTCTACCATATTGTATAACTTTAAAAAACGAATTAAAAAAAAAAAAAGTATAATTATGTAAATTATGTACATTTAATATTTTTTTAAAAAAAACTGCTGCTAATTTTACTAATTATTTCCTTTTTCTTTCCCCTTAGGGAAATGAGGCAAGTTACCCTTTGGAAATGTGCTCACACTGTAAGTCAAATTAAATATTCCTGTTATCAAGAGTTTCTTTTGAACTGCCTCCTTTGCCATGAGAATCAGAAGAGCTGTATAGGATCAAAGATTCTATAGTGGAATCCTCATCAAAATGGGGGAAAATATGAAACATAATTTCAAATAGTCGTGGAATCCAGACTTTCTGGAGCTGTTGAAGTTGAATGATCCGTCCCCTCTACCCTAAACTATTGCTCTGAGATAATCTTCAAACTTGAATTTGAAACTGTCTCCTTAACTTATCTTTAAACTAAATAATACCTCCTGCCATAGATTTGATTGCAGCTCAGCTTAATTAGTAACGAATATTTGCAGTGAACATTTTGCTCTTTTAAAGAATTAAACTATCTGTGAGTAAATGGACAATAGCAACTCAAAAGGTTAGATAAGAAGCTCAGGAGGCAGCAAGTTTATGTTAATGGTGGTGGGATAATTTGGAAAAGGATAACAAAAATAGTTGCACAACTTTAAGAATGTGATGAGTATCACTGAATTTGTTGTACATGATAAAATTATTGTATTGGTATAACTTTTGATATGTATATTTTCACCACACACAGTTTCTTTCATTTACATACACACATATATGCACGTGTGTGTGTGTGTGTAGCCCTCATACATGTCAATAATATATATGTATATCTCATACACATCTATAATATTACCTACCTGCATAATAAAGTTAAGGAGATCTGGTGGCACAGTGGGTAAGGCATTTGACTGCTAACCAGAGGTTGGCTGTTCAGACTCACCAGCTGCTCCATGGGAGAAAGATGAGGCAATCTACTTCTGTAGAGATTTACAGCCCTGAAAACCCTATGCCATTGACTTGATGGCAGTGGGTTTTTTTTTTTTTTTTTCCTTTAAATAAATAAAGTTAAACTTTTAACTATTTAAAATGGGTCGTGAATTTGGGCTATAGTCAGAAATTATGAAATTACATTTGAGGTAAGTTACCAGAGTAAGAAAATATTTTTATGGGCTTCTTCTATTATTAAAATCTGTACTATGCTATAGTTACAGAGAGGAAAATGCTCACATCTCAATGGCTTATCTCAACAGAAGGTTTTTAGGCAAAAGGGGTTTGTTAGGAGCTCTCTACTTGGTGACTCAGGATCCAGGTGCCTTTCATCTTGTAATACTACCATTTTGGTGCTATTAATTTTAAAAACACAGGGTGAGGTAGGAAGAGGGTGCTCATTTCTCTTTCATTGTGTGACTGAGTGGCAAACTTCCAAATTAGTAAAAGTCTGTCTAAAACCTTTTTCTAATATTTAAAATGTTTTATTTTTAAGTTAGTTTGAAAGAAGCCTTTTATTTTCATGTATGTATTTAATGGCAGCTTAATGCTTGAAGGACTAGATTTTAATTTAGAATTAGTTAATTTACTTCTAAGGAGTCCCTGGGTAGCACAGACTGTTAAGCGCTGACGACTAGTTGAAAGGTTGCATTTAGAGGTGCTTTGGGAAATAGGCCTGGCAGTCTGTTTCTGGAAGGTCATAGCCTTTAAAACCCTGTGGACAATAGGTCTTTTCTGATACACATGTGGTTGCCGTGAATTTGAGTTGAATCAACAACAATGAAAAACAACTGTTGTATTAATAGTGTATTAGGAAGACCTGGTGGGACAGTGGTTGAAGCAGTTGGCTGCTAACTGAAAGGTCAACACTTCAAACCCACCAGCTGCTCCATGGGAGCAGGAACTGGTAGTTTGCTTCCATACAGATTTTTAGCTTTGGAAATCCTGTAGGTTAGCTATGAGTTGGAATAGAATTGATGGTGGTGGGTTTCTGGTTAATACTGCATTCTTGCTCTTGTTAGTTTGCCATCAGGTCATTTCTGACTCATGGGTGATGCTATGTACAACAGGACGAAACACTGCCCTATCCTGTGCCCTACTTGTAATCGTTAACTATATTTAAGCCCATTGTTAGAGCATCTGTGTCAGTCCAACTCTTTGGGGGTCTTTCTTTTCTTTGCTGACCTTCTCCTTTACCAAGCCTGATGTTCTTTTCTAGGGATTGGTCTCTCCTGATAGAGGTTGTTTTGCTATTCTTGTTTCTGTGGTGCATTCTAGGTGTACTTCTTCCAAGACAGACTTGTTCATTCTTTTGGCAGTCTCTGGTATCTAAAGTATTCTTCACTAACACCATAATTTCTTAGGCATGAATTCTTCTTCGATCTTTCTTATTTATTGTCCAGTTTTCACAACCATATGAGGTGATTGAAAATACCACAGCTTGGGTCAGGCACATCTCAGTCCTCAAAGTGACATCTTTGTTTTTTAACACTTTAAGATGGTCTTTTGTGGCATATTTGTGGTGGTGGTGGTGGTGGTAGTTAGGGGCTGTTGAGTTAATTCTGACTCAGAAGGACCATATGTACAACAGAGTGAAACACTACCCCGTCCTGTGCCATCCTCACATTCCTACTATGTTTGAGCCCATCATTGCAGCCACTGTGTCAGTCTCTCTCATTAAGGGTCTTCCCCTTTTTCATTCACCTTCCATCTTACCAAGCATGATAACCTCCTTCAGGGACTGGTCCCTCTGACAACATGAACAAAGTAGATGGTCTTTGTTCATTCTTGCTTTTAAGGAGCATTCCAGCTTCATTTCTTCCAAGACATATTTATTTGTTCATTATTCTGGCAGTCCATAATGTTTTTAGTATTCTTTGCCAACAACACCTAATTCAAGGGCATCGAGTCTAATTCAATATTCTTTATTGATTTCCAACTTTCACATGCATATGAGGCAATTGAAAGTACCATGGCTTGAGTTCGGTACATTTTAGTCTTCAAAGTGACATATCCTCTTTAACACTTTAAAGAAGTCCATTTCAGTAAATTTCCCAGTGCAACACAATGTCTAATTTCTTGACTGCTGCTTTCGTGGGTGTTGATTGTGGATCCAAGTAAAATGAAGTCCTTGATGTTTAGGTTACTTTGTGCTGCTCTAACAGAAAATACCACAAATGGAGATCTTCAACAAATGGGAGCTTATTATTCTCTGACAGTTTTGGAGGCTAGAAGTCAGAGTTCAAAGTGCCAGACTCTAGGGACTGAGTGAAAGCCCCTTGACCTTGGTAAGAGTCCCAAGATCGTCAGACAACATAGCAGGCTAGTGAACAACAACTCGGCTACACGCAGTATTCAAGTGTGCCAAAAGCTGCAGATCATTCCCAAAGTTTCTCCTTATATCCTGGAAGCAGACCACATCCCTAAAGCAGTTACTCAACTGGTTTTGGCAAATTCCACCGTGGAACTGATTGCAGTTTCATCATCATCAACTGCCCATCCAAGTTGACACATAACCTTAACTACCACACTTGACAACTTCAGTCTTTTCTCCATTTATCATGATGTTGCTTATTGATCTGTTTGTGAGGATTTTTGTTTTCTTTTGTTGAGGTCTAATCCGTACTGAAGGACTACTCTTTGATCTTCATCAGTAAGTACTTTAAATCCTCTTTGCTTTCAGCAAGTAAAGTTATATCATCTGAATATGATGGGTTGTTAATGGCTATTTCTCCAATCATGTATTGAGGCATGACAACCAGAATTTGATGTTATTATCAAATCATATTAATTATTTCATGTTTCATTTATCAAGGGTGGTCAACATCATTCAGGCCTCTTTCTGGGAGACAGAACCCCAAAAAACCAAACTCACTGCCGTCGAGTTGGATCCAACTCATAGCATCCCCTCCTTGGGTTTCCGAGGCAGTATCACTATGGATGTAGATTGCCTAACCTTCCTTCCGAGGAGTGGCTGGTGGGTTTGAACTGGCAGCCTTTTGGTTAAAAGTCAAATGCCTTAGGCACTATGCCACCAGAGCTCCCTTCTGGGATATAGAAACTATACAACTTAAAGTGCATTTCTTGTACTCCTCTGCAGCTACAGTTCTTAATGTTTTGTTTCTGCCGTAGATAGATTCATGTGAGATTTGGAAGGTAGAAGTGAGTTTGAGTGGGTTTTTCTTTTTTCTGTTTTTACTTCTAAGATTTGGGCTGTAATTTGGATTTTGTTGTTCAGTGTTCTAGAGTAGAAAATCCTTTCAAATTCAGTATGCAGCTTTCTGATTGACTAGGACAAGCAGTAGTTCCTTTGGCGGCTCAGTTCTGTAGTGTGGCTTTGTTAGTTGTTGTAAAAGCTTAACAGAGCACCCCCCCCCCTTTTTTTTTTAAAGCTTTCTACTGATCCTCTTAACACTGAAAACCAATCTCTTTCTACGTAAACTAGCTAAGGTTGATTTTTGTTGTTTGCGCTTGAACCCTGAATGATACAGTAATTGGTATCAGGAATAGTTGTAGATAATACACTTCAAGGTAATGGAAATCTAGATTGGTTATCTGACCTTGGACTTGTTGAAGGTAGTCATGATCCTATTATGAGAAGCTGGAATGTTTAGTAGTCTGTGGCACACACTGACACACAGTTAACTGATACCCCATTTGTGGTTGCATAAAATAAAGTGCTTATTGAAGACAAAACTTCGGTAGAACAAATAACTACAAGTTATGATGAACTGCGCTTAAGAATGTCTTTTTTTTTTTTTTGCATCCTATTATTAATGTGTATTACATACAATGCAGCAGTGTTTAATTTGCTGATATTATTGTTCTTATGCCAGTCCCTAAGGTCAAATAAAAGATGAGATTTATAAAGATACTGATAGTAAAAGGCAGAATTGTGGTGTTGGCAAAGAATAGTGAAAATACCATGGACTGCTAGAAAAAAGAACAAATTTGTTTTGGAAGAAATAGAGCCAGAATGTTCCTTAGAAGCACAAATGGCCAGACTCCTTCTCTCGTACATTGGTCATGTTATCAGGAGGGACCAGTCGATGGAGACAGACATCATACGTGGTAAAGCAGAGGGTCAGCAAGAAGGGCAAGACCCTCAACAAGACAGACTGACAGAGTGGCTACAACAATGGGCTCAAGCATAGCAGGGATTGTGAGGATGGTGCAGGAC